TATTGAACATAACTAGATTGAATTTGTGCTTCCAGGGCTTGATTTGTTTCGTCCATTCGCCGAAACATTCTTGCAAGACCTCTAACATTGAGCTTTGGGGTAGAAGGGGTCCATGGGGTTGAAAGGGTTTGAATATTTCGCCATCTGCGGTATTGGGTGTGGACGGCGACCGGAGACCTACAGACGCACATGCGTGTGTTGTTTTCAATTGATGACGGGCAGTTCCAGCTACTGTTCTTATTGTTGCCATGTGCCGTGTCTGTTCCCAGTCCCTTTCCAGTGCCTTTTCCAATGCCTTTTGCACTTTCTCAAGGCCCTGCCAGCAAAATTGTGTTTCACGCACACAAACCGTGAAAAGGCACTGGAAAAGGCATTGAAAAGGCACTGGAAAGGCACTGGGAACAGACACTGCAAATGGCAACAGTAAGAACAGTAGCTGGAGCTGCTCTTCATCTGGCTTGCTTTCCTGACGTCTGCTGTCCTCGCTCGCAACGCGTCGATGCGAAAGAGTTGTTGAGCGCAGAAGATGAAAACACAGAGTACTACGTTAGACTTGATACTTACCGAGCCAAAAATACGCAAACGTCACACCTTTAGACAGTAGATGGACCAAATATTCAACCCCTGTATCAATAACTGTCGCCAACCCCTGGCCCCCAAAGGTCAATATTGAACATAACTTGATTGAATTTGTGTTTCCAGGGCTTGATTTGTTTCGTCCATTCGCCGAAACATTCTTGCAAGGCCTCTAACATTGAGCTTTGGGGTAGAAGGGGTCCACGTGGTTGAAAGGGTTTGAATATTTCGTCCATCTACGGTAGCAACTCAGTATATAGCTACTTGCAGGTAGTAGCTACCTCTCCCTTACTTATATAATTAAAGAAGCCCCTACTTCATTATATGAGTAGGGAGGGGGAAGCGGGCCAAACGAAAAAACATGTTAACGTAAATGTGACCTTGGACTTTACATAACTGTACAAGCCCAACTTGCCCAAAACACCACTTGAGAAGCGGGAACGAAAGTGAAGAATTGGGAGCGACCCCAGCGCAGCGAGGCGAGGCAGCAACAAAGACCCAACAAGGACCCAAAAACACTGCGCTCGTCGCCAAGAGACGTTGCGACCACCATTGTCGAGCGCACACTCTTGCATAGTACAGCTCTGGCAGCAACTGTCATACGTCAGTGGATATGTTGCCTGAAAATTCCCCAGCACACATCCGTAAGAGAATGACCACAAATGCAGCGATATTGTACTCTCGGGTGTTTCAGCGCCGGTTTCACTGATAACTTGAGTGGAAAAAGTTGCTCGAACAACCTTTGCTTCTTTTAAGTTTGCCCACTCACTTGTGATATGTGTGTGTCCTTTTGTGGGGCCCTCCAAATTCCTATGCTGAATCAATTCGTACGTGATCCGAGCTGTATCTAAATTCACCTGTCGGTGTATTCCACCTCCACACTAGGACATCAACGAGTCTATCGATCTAGCCCATCATCAATCATTCGCTCTGCAGCTTGACTCCTCTCATCTACTTACTCCCCGCAGGGAATCATTGTACATACAACACAAATGTACACATGATGCAATCCTGAGTCAGGCCCTGCGCAAAGGCCCCTTCCTTACAAGGTTTTTCTGTACTGTATTCATGCAGTTTGCTTGAAAGCGCAACTCTTGCTTGTCTTCCCGAAGTTCATCATTTAGCTTTACCTTGCGGGAAGTAATTGTGTGTCATGTGTAGGCTACGTTACACAAATATCTTGCACAATCCTGTGGCACCTCTCGCAAGTCACTGACAGTCACAACGTGTTCTTCCAGCATTTGCTGGACAAGCTCCTGGAAAGCAAAAACATGTTGGCCGCGCCAGTAGAAGAAGATTCCTGTGATCTCAGATGCTATGTTTCAATCTGGAACCATCCCACGCAATAGGTTGTGGCAGGGCCGACTCCCTAGAGGCGGAGGCATGGCAAAGCAGAGTACTGCATCCCTCGGCTGTCCCACTGTCCTGGAATCTGGAATCATCAGCAAAGGCCTGAGACTGCAAGCTCGCTTGCGCTTCTCCTGGAACAAGTGAACGTTCAGCAAAGCATAGCTGGCGGCACGGAGACAGAGAAGACAGTCTGGAAGAAAGGGCCGACACGGCTTCTATCAACTAGACGACAGGGTGGCCCGAGAGTATAGTAGTAGGAGTAAGCGTTATAACGAAAACAAAGCTGAGGGATGAACCGTTTGTCGGTAACATGTACGGTAACATGTTTTTGGGGTAGCACTGTATCACAAAGGTTGGAGCCAGCCACGCAAACGCGCTTTCCACCAAGGCCGCGCAAATCCGCATGGCACTACGACATCACGGACGCAATTCGCCACACGGTCTGCCCCCACACACTAAGAAGCAATCCTATCACACCATACCGCCAATCCTCCCGCTCACCGCTCACCAGCGACACGCCGCGTTTACACCAGCATGTTTCGCGCTCCCCAGCGGCACGGCGCCACGCAAACGCACTTCCCACCAAGGCCGCGCAAGTCCGCATGGCGCAGCGACATCACGGACGTAATTTCGCGACACTGTGTGTCACAGCCTAAAAGCAAATGTGTCACATAATACCACCAATCACCCCGCTCACCAGCAACACGCCGCGTTGACGCCAGCATGTTTTGCGCTCCCCAGTGGCACGGCCCCAAGCAAACGCACTTTCCACCGAGCCCGCGTAGATCCGCATGGCACAGCGATATCAAATTTGCCACACGGTCTGCCCACACACTAGAAGCAATCCTATCACACGATACCGCCAATTCCCGCTCACCAGCGACACGCCGCGTTTACACCAGCATGTTTCGCGCTCCCCCGTGGCACGGCGCCGCGCAAACGCACTTTCCACCAAGGCCGCGCAAATCCGCATGGCACTGCGACGTCACGAACGTAATTCGCCACACGGTCTGTCAGAAGCAATCCTATCACACGATTCCGCCAATCATCCCGCTCACCAGGGACGCGCCGCGTTTACACCAGCATGTTTCGCGCTCCCCAGTGGCACG